CGAACATATCTGATTTCTGTTTGAGAAAATATACCCACGTAAACGTGGTAGCATGATCAATAAAGAGAGCAAAATAGCGGAACCCCAGACGAGCCGTCACCGGAGACGGACCCCAGAGATCAGTATGCACCAAATCAAATGGTTCAGAATACTCAGTCGAACTAGAAGAAAATGGATCGTTGGGAGATCTTAGCTTGAACACAATGCACACACTCATGATCGGGAATAGAACGAATGGTACCCGACAACCAGTTTTTCTTAAACATATCAAAAAGAGGTGTTTTATGGGGATGACCAAGGCGAAAGTGCCATAAATCCCAATCCGACAACTTAACCGAATATCCAGATTTGTTTAATGGAGAGGAAGGTAACAAAACATCATAACCCGGAGCACAATTCCCTCCCTGAGTCGTGTGACCAGCATGCATGGGGTCGCCCGAACACGTGCCACCATGATATACGTCCAATTCCTCAGGAGATCCCGCCGGCGGCTGGTACCGATCAAGAAGGAAAATCTGACCCTTCTTACTCCCTCGTCCTCTCACCACCCCCCATCTTTGTGTCCTGCACACCACCACCATGAGTATCAAAGATGACCCGACACCCACCCTCAGTTAATTGTCCCACCGAGACCAGGTTGTAGAACCATCCGCAACCTGTAAACGAATACCAGAAGTCGGCCGAAGAGAAGAAAATATAGAGCGAGCGCTCGTCATATGATTCATGGCCGCGGAGTCAATATGCCAGGAAGAAGAGGAGGAATTATGTGTACCCGTCGAGAAGGCTGGGGTGAGGGCAGAAGGGAGAGTCTCCTTAAGAGCCTCCCTCACCAACAGACAAATCTCAGCCGACGAGACCCCTGCAGCACTGAAGCCCCCATCACCCGAACCAGCTGAAGCAACCAGCGTAGTAGCATACGCCGGACCAGAGGAAGAGCGCCCAGCTGGGTTGCAAGATCCACCACCAGGTCGCCCACGGCCACGACCTCGCTGAGCATGAATCGGGCATTCTCCGATAACATGGCTTGTGGCCTTACAGTAATTGCATATAGTGCGTTTGGGACACCGAACATGAATATGACCCAGTTCTTTGCAATGGTAGCAAATGATCTCACCGGACGGCGTACAACCTAATTGGGGACGGTCAGAATGAACATCAAAGACAGAACCCGATTCCGATGAGTGTACATCAAGTTTCGCCTGACTGCGAAGGCGAGTTTCCTCACGAATGAGCTCCGGTAAGACTTCTTCAATTTGGGTCACATTACGGTGAAGAAGCGAGGATCGAATGCCCTCGAACGCAGGATTGAGGCACATTAGAAAATTCATCAGTCGAGCGCTAGCGCGCTCCTTCAAGACCTCAACCGAGGCTTCAGCAGAGAGCAAGGATCATGTGAGCATATCATGCTCCGACCACAAGTTGAGAGCTTCCTGATAATACGAGCGGACTAAATCACCTTGCTACAGCGAGGCTAGGGCGAACTCAATCTCGAACTTCCGAGAAGCATCCACTTGTGCATGAATCTTATGAAGGTGCTGCCACGTACTATGCGCAGACTGAAAGCTACGCAAACTTAGCGCAATACCAGGATCAACAGAACTAAGCAGTGAAGAGGTAAACTGGGCATTAGCAATAGCCCAATCAGATTGAACCTTGGCCGACGCAGACACATTCGGGGCCAGTAGAGAACCATCAAGAATGGGAAGTAAACCCTTCCCTTGCACGAACACACGAAATTGAAGCTCCCACAAGGGAAAGTTTTTGCCGTTAAATCGAACGAAAACTGATTCCATCTTAGAACCCTCCATAATGATGAGCTAAACTCCTAACAACCAAGATACAGAAAAGCTATAGAAATTGCTCACCCCAAACAACCAAGAATCAAAACCCGAGGGACTCACCAGAGATACCCACCGAAAAAAAAAAGACCCACTGTAGCCAAGAAGCACAACGCAGCCGCACCAACAACCCACAAAGCAGCAAAACACACGTAGCCAACAAGAAAAAAACACAGCGCACCAAAACAGTTCATGGCAGCACAAAAGTCAGAGAGGCTCTGATACCATGTCAAACATCAAGAAACCGATAACCTAATCAAGCATAGAACACGAGATTTACGTGGTTTCCTTAACGATGATCATTGAGACTAGTCCACGTCACAAGGCGTTAGGTTATCTTATTCAGCAGAATGTTCAATATAATTACAATTAGTCTCTACGGGACTATATATATGTGCGGCTATGTGCGGCTAACCCTACTACCCGAAACCTCAAGATACCCGAAATATGTACAGGGACAATTACAGAACAACCCCAGAACTTATAGCCTCTAACAAAGATGACCTGCTCCTTCTCACGGCGCACCATTTTTCCTCCCACCGCTAACATCCAGCTTGTTCGAGTGGCGACCATCTTCCTCACGTCCCAAATCGCCGGCAACGATCGAGAAGAAGAATCTCGGTCGACAACGCCGTTGCTGCTCAATTGTCCGTCTCCTCTGCATCCGCGTAGAGTCGTCGGGAAAGGTAGGTCTCACGGTCAAATGTGTTTGACCCTTCTTTGGCTCCTTCGGTCAACCGCATTATTTGTCTTGTTTGACCGTTATTCAATTACATATGATATAATGATATTCAATAAATTAAATAAAATAAAATAAATTTAAATTTAAAACATATCAAACGTAACCCGGGTCAGATCCAGTCCTTAAACTACATTCTTTAAGGAGGATCTTAAACTTATTCTAGCCAATAGGAGGAGGAGAGAGATAATTATTATTAATCATTGGCTAACTACCTACAAGGGCTGAAATGAAATATAATTAATAATTAATGTCTTCATTAATTAAAAAGAAAACAATCTCTCCTAAATTCGGCAACTATTTAAATTAAAAATGTAAATTCGAAATTGATATTCAATGTTTTAGAAAAGTACTTTTTTAAAAGAAATGTCCACTTTCCCTTTCTATAGAGACTTGCAATATCATTATTAATATTTGTAATGGTATTATTAACATTTATGAAAAGTATTACTAATTATTATCGATATACTCATCATTATTAATGATTTTAATATATTTATCAATATTTTAATATTATGAATGTTTACATCGAAACATTGATAATAACACTCTTAATCATTAATAACTAAGTTGTGTTGGCGTTGAGAATACAAGCAAAATAATTGATAATGATTGTATCTAAATGAGTGATACCGTTGTACATATTATTAATAATTCTCTTCTCAAAATATTGATCACGATATAAAAACTATTAATAGCTAACTTATGTTTCATTTAAAAAGCAAAAAAAGTAATTGATAATGATCATATGTAATGGTGTTAATCATACTACATATTATTAATAATTCTTTCTCAACTACTAATACGCTTATATATAAAAAAAATAAAATCATTGATAATGATCATATCTGATGGTGGTTAATCGTACCACATATTATTAATAATTCTCTTTTCAAAACATCGATAACAATATAAAACTATTAATAGCTAAGTTGTGTTTCACCAAATAGCAAACAAAATCATTGATAATGATTCTAGTGGTGGTTAATCATACTCAATATCATTAATAATTTTTTCTAAAATATTGATACGCTTATATACCCACCAATCAGCAATCATATAGCTAGTCATTAGCAATACTTATATAAAAAACATTAACAACGTTGTTGTAAATCGTTCAAAAGGCAAGCAAAAAAAAAGTTATCAATGCTTTGCTCCTAGCCAATTCCTTATCAACGTAAACACGTTAACAAGGAACTATGAAAGGTTAATAATCACTACAACAATGCAATAACACGACTGTAAAACCTTAACAACCACCATCTTATGGTTAATCAAACTACACTCTTAATATAATAATAATTGACAATGATCATATCTGATGGTGGTTAATAATACTACGCTCTTAATATAATAATAATGTCTTACTACAATGTTAAAAGATAGACAAAAAGTTTTTAAAAAATGACACACCGTTAAAAAAATGCATCGCTTTCCATAAAAAGAAAAAATTGCATCGCTCTAGTACTGCAGAATATTATGGTTAGTAAACATTAATGTAGAATAAAAATATTAAAAATTTGAAAACCGCTAGCATAATAAATTCCTTAAAATCCAGCCACTCTCCGTTTATTACTTTTAAAAATACTCTAATGCCCTAATTACCCTTAACTACTCGGTAACCACTAACCATATATATTAAGTGCCAGTTTTACTTTCAGCCAATAGAAATCATTTAAGATTCTTCTTAAGTTTCTTGGTTTAAGGACCTGAACTCATCCAGGGTTCGTCTGTGTTTTGACCGACAGTGAAACGCAGCTACAGTGCGGTTGCCCGTTGGCCAAAACGGGGTTTGACCCGCGTTTGACATGGGGTTACAAGCTCCGGCTTCCTACCTCTGTTGCCGGCTATCTTCTCATGCGAGCTGGGACGACACGGGATGAAGAAAGGCCGCGACATTAGTTCGATCGATCTCTTATGTACTTCATCAATTTTCCAGGTAACGATATCAGTTGAGTAGGGCTATTAATGAGCCGAATCGAGCCGAGCTTTGTCATAGTTCAGGCTCGGCTCGGCTCGTTAATATATTTTCAGGCTCAAGCTTGGCTCTTGTTCATCACGAGCTTTAATATGCAAGCTCGACCTCGGCTCGTTTATGAAAATGAAAGCTCGAGCTCGGCTCGTCAAATAAGTTTAACGAGCCCAAAATCGAGTTCAGCTCAAAAAATGTTCATGATAGATCAAAATTGACCTAGAACTGAGCACAAAATTACATTCAAACCTATAGCAAAATCTATCAAAGTAAAACACAATATTTATCCCAATTTCAATACATAAAATCCATGAATTCTAATCCTTTTTTTGTGCCAACCCATTAAATGAGCTTGTTTGCGAGAATTCAAGCTAAACATGGTATGACTCGAGTTCAACTCGTTTAATTAACAAGCTTGTTCGCGAGCTGGCTCGATTAATACGAATCGAGTGTCGAACGAGTTTTTTTCGTATCGGACACCAAGCCGTTCATGAGCGGCTTGGTTCATTAACGGCCTACAATTGAGGCACACACAGAAGCCCATATACTTTAGATATAGGGAAAAACTATCTAGCATTCACAACTTACAAGGGATACGGTTTATCAATTGGGCACAGCTTCCAAGTTCTATACATAAGAGGGCGATTAAGAACAGAGACAACACCAAAAGGATAATGAAAGGGCAAAATGCAACAAGAGACATAAGAAAGAAAAGGCAGAGAGATCCGACCCGATATATTCATACATTCGTAAGAAAAAAGACCGGTGAATGGCGAAGTCCACTAATACTGATGATATCATAAACGCTTCGTCTCCTGTCTGTTATAACCTATCGACCATCAATCTGGCATTAGGGAAGCAGAATTTCTTTCATACGGATAGCTGATAAGGGTCTCTTCATGTGCCCCTTCCCCCTTTAACTATACACGCTCAAGGTCGACCAACTCGCCCTGCCCACCAGAGGAGAATGTGCAATTCTTGGACCAGCTACACCACAAAAAAGGTTCCAATGGTGGTTTGACCAAGAACCCTAGAGCTTCGATCAAGGCCATGAGAAGCAACCTAAACAGTACATGCCATCCAGGACAAAAGGAGTGTCAAATACTCATGCCCACAGCTACAAAAGGAGCAAAATTGAGAAAAGCTCATTCAGTGAATGCTTACCATTTGACTTAATGCAGCATAACGCTCCTCGTTAAGGTACAGAGGCTTTCCTCTCTGCATCTCTACATCCTGCAAGGAGCCAGTCAATCATTACACAAAACAAGGAAGCAAGTGTCAGGAAGGCTGAAAACAGAGCCTATTATATAACTACATATATGAGCAAGGGTAAACAATTCACCTCTTCACCAAAAGCATCCAAGTATGGGGAAGGCCAAGGAGCTTGCCGAGCACATCTTTGTAAGAGAATTGTTGTTCTCTGTAATAACACACTCAATCACTAGTACCATAAAAAATCAGTGCATGAGAGCACAATCAGGTCACCGAACAGAGGTCCTTACCTTAATCAGTAGGAATACACCTGTACCAGCACCACAAGTCGCTGCATGAATTTGGGTTTTGGTCTCACTTCATGACAACGTAACATAGGCATTGTCAGACAAACAACCCTAAAACAGCGTAATTCAAGAGCAAATAAAAACCTAAAGAGGAAATGTTTTCAAAAACTAAACCACCTGCAGCATGTCTTCCAGTTTGGAGAGCATAATCTACCACAAAGCAAACAAAGTGCAGGCTCCTCAAGAACAACACTCTTGCAGGTAGCACAAGTCTGTTTAATGTACCTGATAGAAAAATTGATCATCCAAAGTTATTTTCTTCTGAAATTCCCCTGAATTTGAAGAAGTTTAAGAGTTAATAAGGCAGAACAAACCTCTGCAGCAGATCCTGGTAAACACGAGGGAGGTGCATTAACCTAAATGGCACTGCAGGTGCCAAATGTAGATTGCCCTTAAAGCTTCGTGTTCTGTAGTCAAAGCAGAAATGATTGCACCACTTCAAAGCTATATCTCGAAGAGCATGATCTTTTAGAATAATATCCAACGGTGGAATCTTGAATAGCTTTTCCAAATTTTCAACTTCATTGATCTCAGCAAAGTCGGTCTCCATGTCTGCTACCTGGTCGACATGATTAGAGAATAATCTCTCCTCCCTACTGCAGAATGGTGCTGAGACAGAAGTCCTCAGTAACTTCCACAGTAATGCACATCTCCTCAAAAAGGGGAAACTCAATCTACGAATAACAACCATGATGTCACCAGACGAATCTACACCGGTCGAAACAAAATATTGCCGTACCCATCCAGACTCCCTTAGAATGTTGAGTATGTCGGTTATCAGGGAATCACCAGAGTCCAAGCCATCATATTTGGAGTCTTCTAATCCGCAATATGTAATTATTGCCTGCACTCCAAACACAAGGAGATAAGCAAAACCATCCATTGAGAAGTAAGAAAAAGAAGAAAAAAAAAAGAAAAAAAGAGGAGTTTCTCTGAGTATAAGGAATAGTGGAAGAAGTTTGTCAACTAAGAAGCACACCTGAATCACAGCAACAGAATAGAAGACATGTACTAGGTACAGCAGTGAGTCTTCACAAGAGAAAAATGGTTGTGGAAGACAAAACAGAACCCACATTAAAGATGAGAAAGGATCATGAGCAATAATGGGATCAGCTGCTCGATTCCAGAATGGAACATCAGGAAATAATACTTCTTTATCAAGTTGCTTCCATAATAAGTCACCTATTAAGAAAATAAAAACACAAATTAAACAAAACTGAAAAGAATATAAGAGGGGAAAAAAGATAATATAAGAGTGTAAAGTATAGATGGTAGTTTTATATGCGAACAAAATTTCCTTAAGTTGTCCTCGTACATATTACAAGCTTTGTGAGTGCAGTATACAAGAATGAAAGTGAAGAATCAATCAAGGTAGGGCATATAGAGGTTTTTATTTCGTGGTCTTGCACTAGTTATTGTTGTGTTCTCAAGTATCAATCTGAGGTACCATAATAAAACATATTTTTAAGGACACACAAGCAAAACCTAGCAGCCACTTGTACTTAGATGTGGTTAGTTGAATAAAGGTAAAAGAACTCCAATCCAACAGTAACTCACCTGCATGTCGTTCGGTGCTGTCACCAGATTTCTTGGAGGCACCCAAGCAAATAGAGTCTCCAAAGAGCTGAATGCCTCTGTATCTTTGAAGTACACGAAGGACATTATTACTACGCACAAATTGCACAATCTTCAGCAGCATCGATAATGTAAACCCACTAGACGAATTGAGTTCCTTATATAAGGAGTCAAGGGTATATGTTGGCATAGTAGACTCTTTTCCAGAACGAGCTGAAATCTCCATAGTAATGAGAGAGTACTTCAGTGTGTCCCACATGATCATAGACTCATTTACCCCTGATGTTCCTAAGAACTTCTCCTGTCTGTTCGGGAAATACAATTTACAGAGCATTCGACAGACAAAGTCCAGATTTGGCGCGGCCCTTCTGTTTATGTTCAGTGGAACAGTTCTCAAGATATTTCTATTTCGACTAATGTTTGCAGCAGATTGCAAGAGAGCAAATCCTTTCATTAGCAAAAATGCCTCCCTATCGTTTGATAAATTGACAGGTGAAACCATGGGCTTCCCACCCTTCCGGAAATTTCCAGGAAAGGAAGGCAAAACAGAGTTTGCAAGCCGGCGGCAGACAGGGCACAGAAATTCTCCCTGCAAGAAAGAAAAGAGTCATATACAGGAGCATCAACCGCATATACCCATCAAAATATATTACCTTATCTGGGTTAACAATATGCCCTCCTTCAATTGCAATTCTCCTAATGTACCTGAGCAACAGCACTAAGAATAAGAGAAAGGAGATGTGTTGATCAAGACTGAAACCAATATGCATAAGATTTTCCAGCGCACCTCTCCCTTAATGATGATAAATATCGATCAAGACATGACTGATGCACTGCATGGCCGCAGGAAGACAAATGGATCCCATCACAACCTACCGGGCCAAATCCATCATATGCAGAAGGTTGTGAAGTAGATTCCGCCTGCATCTCATCCTGATGGGCACTTTCAGAAGGTGATGGCTGTTCAATCATTTCAGAAGAAAGTGCAGCCACATATTTGCCAATGAACAGTGAGTCAGTGATCTTGTAGTCATTTGGCTGATTTCCATCTGCATGAGAATAATCATTTGCCATTCCCAACTCAAGACCAGCCCTGGATTCTAGAACTTCCTTTCTGATGGACAAATACAAGTCGTCTTCCCACATCTCAAGGGTGTAAATGTTCTCATCATTCCCATCCTTGAATGTGCAGGAAACTTCAGCATTTTCTAGTGACGGGAATTGAGACTTCAGGATTTTCAAAACACTGTTAACTTCCCCAGGTTTCCCATAACGAGAGAACTCATTTACAATATTCTGTACAAACTGCAACAACTGAGAGGATGCTGAAGCATTGGAGGAGGTAACTCCAGATTGACCTGTCACTTTGTTGGTTTCTGACAAATGCTCTATATCCAACTGCCAAGCTTTATCCCATGAGGGTGTCCCTCTATTGATAATGCTCAAAAGCCTTGATTTCTTCAACCAAGCACAATAAATTGGAATGGAAGTATCAAAGTTAAGGTCACAGGCAAAAGAATGTCTAAATTATACGAGCAAGAAAACCCAACTGTATCACTTAAAATGATGTAAACAGATGATTGCTTACCTGAAGAAGAACCAAGAAAGATAAGGGATCCTTGGAGTCAGGATCATGACAAAGAGAGCAAACATCCTGCGCCAGATCTTTGAAGTAGTGTTCACCATCAGAGTTGCTTTCTTCCGATTCAGATTTTGAATCATCAAGGATGGTAGAATTAATGCTTGACAAGAACTTGGATTGCTCCGCCTTCATTTTTGCCTACCGTAAAGAAGAAGAAAGCCATTATCAGCTTTATGTGATCTATCATGTTACTTTTTTGTACATTAGTAATCTACACTGCATCCTGATGTTTTGTCTTAAGGGAAGGGAGTGTGCATCTTACCATTATAGCGGCCTGTTGCTCTCGAGCTTTGGCTTTCCGTTTCTCATGGTCAGATTCTAAGTTTGGCATATTTGTGTCGCACAGTTGCATTGGCTGTGAAAACTGAACAACCACTTCAGGTGCAAGCTGTTGAAGTAATGTCATGCATCTGCAATCCATCTCGGCAAATCTCTTCAGAATATTGTCAATCAGAGAAGCAATGTCACAACTGTCAGCTTGAAAGAAGCCATTTAAGTTCTCTCGTCTGTTCATCCTCATTAGTGAGACAAGAAGTGAAAGTAAACTCTGTTCGCCAGCATCATAAAGTATGGAATCATTGACTGCTTCACCAGAAAATTTAATTAAGGGGATGGGATCTCCCAAGTCCGATAATGTGTCATTTGATACAGTCAGCTGACAACAGGCATCCAATGACAACATCAGTAAATGCAGCGCAGCCAAAAGAACACCGTCTGGAGCGCGATTCTCTTTTATCTTATCAGAAAATACAGCATAAAATAACACAGCACGGATGATTTGAAGGACAACTTTACAGGTACCAACTCTGGCCACGCCCTGGAGAGGAGGATAGATCTTTTTCCATCTGGGTAACTGAGTAGTCAATGCAGAGACATTACAATAGCGCAAGTATCTTTCTTCAGCAACTTGCAACTCTCTTGAGCTCCACCGAGGATGGTACAGGTCTAACTCTTTCCAGAACGAAGAACGCAGAGAATACATACCCTATAAATGCAAAGTGTAAGAATACCTTAAGCAAACAATAGCATAAACTTTCAGGGTTTGGTAGAAAAGAAACCTGATTAACACCGGATGGATTAGAATACACAGCAACTGCATCTAGGATCTCCTGAAGCTGGTCAGACTTGGAGAGGTCACGGGGCAAAGACTTCACCAGTTGACTGTGAGTGGCATCTCCGATGGCTAACCTATGAACCAACTCTCTTTTCAGATTCTCAGCAGTAGTCAGCCCAGAAAAATGTCTTTCTTGGATAATTTGTATGATAAGAGTCAGCATAGATTGCACCAAGACAGGTTCATACCTGAAAAGAAGACATAAAATGACTCGGAAGTTTAGTTTTGAAACGTGGGCTACGTAACAAAAGAGAGGCATTCACGAACAAGGTTGACGAAGAATATGTGAATATCAATTCTGGTGCTCTTGATGATTGAGGTTGATGAAACATGTGAATATCAATTCTGGAGTACCAAAGTTAACAATCATAATGCATCTGCCGTGTTTCACTAAGTGACTGAATCTCGAATCGACAAAACAAAAGATGTGAAAAAATTAGATATGCAATCCCAGTGAAGTTTTACGTACTCGTTCGACATTTCAGGATTCAAAGATAAGTAGTCTGACAGACCAAATCGCTCAACTATTCTGGTAACAAAAAAGTCAGCGGGGGCCAACGCAGCACAGCACTGAAGAAGAAATAGATCAAGTTCCAGACCCTGCTCAGACCTACAATAAAACAACCAGGACTTCTCATTAGTGGAAAAGAGCTTTAAATTATTAAAGCAAGATCGCTTCAATGGGGAAAAAATCCCCAAACTCTTAAGAAACAGTACCTACCAGCGAACTGATCGATACCACTCACAGGACATAATAGCAGCATCTCCATTCTTCCTCCACATTCCAGCCTGAACTTGGGCACAGAATACCCTGTTACGCAAAGGATGCTCCATAACAAAGGCAGAGAAACCAAATGGGTGGTAGCCCCTAAGGACAGACCCAAAGAAATCTTTGTGGATTGCAGATGCCATAAGGTTACCCACATCAGACTCACCATATGACCTTCTCAGCGATCTTTTCAAAAGGAGGGCAAGTAACCGATGTAAATAAATGTGAACTGACACAGGCTGCGAACTAACATCAAAAACTATGTTAGGCCACTCTGATGAACTGAGAACCCGCAGAGCATCTAAATCCGACGAACCATTTCCTCCAATAGGACTATCAAGACCTGCAGAATCAGGACTTGCTCTACAGTTCAGGGCAGTACCCCTAGCATCTTCCAAGTCTGCAGTTATGAGACTATGTGTAGGAGAACCACCGTGCCTATTTCTATCCTCACTTGAACTAAGTCCAAAAATATACTTACCTCTCTTAATCTTAGATAATGTTCTTTTCAAAGCTACAAAGTTGCTGTCAGCAATACCGCTAGCATTCTGAGATATTAGAGAGCTTGAAGAATTATCAGCCTCCAGCCAGCTCTCGATTGCTTTCAAACACTCATGGGACATCCATGTGACAGCTGAAGGAATAGGAGAATGAGAGACAGAGTCCAATTCGATATTATCGTGCGTTGCTGACGAACCACTTGAAGAGTTCCTCCCGGTTGCACTAGATACAGAACTTTCCTGCAGGAGCCTTCCCACTTTCGCATGCCTAAGGCTATCTCCTTCATCCACATCATGTGCATTCATCTTTGAAAAGAAATCTTCATCAGCCTCTTCGTTGCCAGTAAATGCTCCACCCACCAAAAGGGAATGAATGTTTGCAATAGAATGGCCCAAACAAAAAGATAAGTTTGCATTGTCACCATCTTCTTCTACATGGAGGCCAGTTTCTCTCTTTAGGGAACTCATTCCTTGCAAGAAAGACAAAAGTTGCATCCAAGTTCTCAGGATGTCTCTCCGTTCATAGGTTATGTACTTTGGGACAACGCTGTGGCTCATAACAAAACGAATATCATCGACCACACGAATGGTAATCTCGTACAGGTTTCCCCACTTGGAGATCTGCAAAATGAAGAGACTTGAAACATCAATTGTAAGGTCGAAACAATTATTAAATACAAACATAACAGAGGAGCTTCCAAAGAGCTCAAGTAAGTTGATAAGAGTACAACATCACCACCAATCATAATACAATCCTGAAGACATACAGATCAACAAATATCCACGTAAAGTCGTAAATGCAGCATTTAGTTCTTAATTTTGAGACGAAACCAAATGGCATGAAATTCAGAGGCAAATGGATGTCAGGTACCTGTAGACAGCCATCCTCTCCAGCACAATGAGAAAAAATGTCCCTCAAGCACCGCAGCAGTATAGCAAGAAGGTTCATCTCCTTTACAAGTCGAGGGGTTAGAGTGGGCACTGTAAAGATCTGAACAGAGAATTTCGATAAAAGTGGATACTTCTTGAGACCATTCTCTGTGCCATCTTTAATTACTTCATTTACAACAAACGGGTAATAGCTGAGAAATACTTTGGCAAACTCATATTTGAAGGTGGGCTCTCCTAATAATTTAAGAAGCAATTCATGAAGCTTCCTTGCAACACTCTCACCCAATGAACTCTCTGACCTTACTAGGATCTCCAACAAGCCATCCAAAGCAGTCACCCTTCTGGAAACAAAACTAAGCAAACTTTCACTGTACTTGCAGAAGTCTAGCAGCATCTCAACCACCCAATTCGTTAGCTCAGTAGCATACTTAATGCAGACGGTCAGACGATCACTGGAGTTCTCCTGGGAGATACACTGCACAACAATTAACTTATTCTTCCAGAACCCAAGCAAGGCATCTAGTACTGGTCCTACAGAGGTAGCATACTCCTGTGGAAGGGTCTGTATCTGTTCAGCACCTTTATGTGTAGTGCAAAATCCCTCCCGTTTCCAAGCGGTTGCATCTCCACAATCACAACAACCTCCACCAGTATAGATTATTGAATAATCATGATCCTCGTGTTTACCATTTTGAAAACACGGAACACAAATGGCACAAGTTGGATCATGTTCACAAGTACGGCACCTATAGGCTATATCATTAGTACCCCAAACAGCCCCACAGACACCACGTCCTGAACTCAACCTAGACAAGTTTAATAGGGCAACAGCAGGGTCGCCCAAGAACATCAGCCACTGCAACCAATTCGTGCATTCCTTAAAACGATTTCTCATTGTCGGGCTCACTACCTTCTTCGAACCGGCCTTGGATTTTTGAACTATCTCCTCCACTTCCTCATCAGTGGGCAAGATAGCAGACACTAAGCTCGCTAAACGCGGCCGTTTATCAGCCACATACGCCACTAAACCAGGGAACAGCTTCTTCAGATTCTCGTCAGGCACACCAAACTGCGCAAGCCTCTGTTACCGGAGAAGAGAAAAAAGAATATCCAAATTCAGAACAAAATCAAACCAAAAACGAAGCAATCCGATACTAATTTCAAGCTCACGGAACAGCAACTACAACAGATTAGGGACGAGAAATGGAAGAAGGAAAGAGTAGAAATGATTGACCTCGACAACCCTATAACGAGGGTTGAGCGGGATAGGATCAGGAGGCGAATCGACTTCCATGTCGCCGTCGCGGAGAGGAGAATGACGAAAGCGCAAGAGCCAATCCAGGCAGCAGAAGCGCAAACACCGCCTCAACCCAGAGATATCACTTTCCAGTTTCGCCTTTGCACTAATTTCGTGCAGATGCTTCGATTTCGCTCAAACCAGTAACCGCCTCCGTTTCGCCGCACGGGCATAGGCTATAGTAGTTGGCTAGCTAGCGAAGCGAGCGCTCGTCTTACTCGTGGCGTGGTGGTTTGGGATTTCCTTCTTCACCATTTGTCATTTTTTACGGTTACGTGGTATCCGTAGATCGTGAAAACTTAGTTGGGTAAGTTACAAGTTTGGTCACTAAAATTATTTAACTTTTGCCACTAAAATTAATTTATTTCATCTCTTGTTAATTAAATTAGTTCAACGATTCAAGGCACTCTCTATTAGTCTTACTTAAATTTTTATGGCGTGACAGTCAACTCTAATAGTTGACTATTAAATGAGTAACGTGGCAATTAAAAAATAATAAAAATTAATATTTTACTTTTCATATCAATCATGGCCTGATTTCGGACCCTGACCCAAACGTCTTCCATCGCCAAATCTTGGCCGCCTTGCCTTCGCCACTCAAAACCATACCCACCACCGGTGTAGCGTCTGCGTCTCTTCTGCTTATCTCGCATGGAAACTTCAGCACAGGCATCGCTGTCTCCCCTGCCGTCGACAATTGTCCTTTGTCGCTTCTATCGCAGTCTCCGACCTACTGCAAAGGCTTGGGCCCACCAGAGGCTGCGAGAAGCCAAGGGTAGTGGTACTGGGATTCGAAGGGGTCGGCTGTCGGTTGATGAATGGAATCGATACCAGCATCTACAACGTTGTATGCGTTTCGCCGAGGAATCACATGGTTTTCACGCCTCTCCTGGCCTCCACTTGCGTCGGGACCCTAAACTTTAAGTCTATTGCTGAGCCTGTGAGGCGAATCCATTACTAGGGAACCCCGATCCTATTTCTTTCTCACCAATTGCAAGGGAATCGACTCTAAGAGTCGGGATGTCGATTGGTGTTGACTGACAAGAGTTAGGGTCGGATTCTTTATGGTAAGAATTCGTGGGGAAACATAATGGAGAGCTTGGTAATGTCGGGGCAGAGGACCGTTACTTTGTTGGTCGGGAAGAATGGATCATCCTCGTCGGCATCAACGGAGATTTTCGTTGCCTCCTTACCCACTACGGATACACCACGATTTAAATCCTGACTAGAGCTCAAGCATAAACTCTAGTCGGGTGCATTATAGGGCAAGTATGTTTTAATTGTCAAACCTGGGCGGGGTCCATGTACCCCTACTTCAATCGCTTAGTTTGTTATCTAGCAAATGTTTTTGGGTTTAAAGCTAAGAAAACTACAAATGAAAACAAACAAGTAAAGTAAATTGAGGTTGTCCCAATGAGAGAAGAGTTCACCCGGGCAAGATTCAAAAAGGCGCTAGGCGCAAGGCGAGTGCTCGTCTCTTGACTTGACCCTTGCCTGATTAAGCGTAGTCTAGACACGCCTAGGCATTAAGAGCGTAAATGTAAAAAATTCTCAAATGTTTCTTGTTTTCTAGAATACTTCATATGATCCAAGTTCATATAAAATTAGAAATAGCTAGTTCTCAACAGTTGACACTTAACATAACAAATAACAAACAAGTAGTGACAGATCGTAGAATCACAAATTGATAAAATGTTGAAATACGAAACAATAGTCAATAAGCACATAGGGAAAATTTCATTCTTCATCATCCAAAAAGTCCTTCCAGACACCACTTCATCTTCATCATCCTCAAAAGCAGGATGACGCTAAACTCCCTTTCACAACCAGCAGGCAAGTTCAGTAGACACTAGACACTAGTTAAAACTCTGTATGTGTTGTTTAACCCATCACTATACACGAATTAAGTGATCCCCTAACTAAATAATGCTCTAACAACTTGCATGTATGGCCACTCTCATTGGTCAGAGGACTTGATTCTTTGCATGCTTTTCATTTAATTTATAGTTTATAACCCACAACCTATGCTAGCTAGTTGTTGCATGCTGACGAAGAAGTAAGCATTTTATTGGTTATTGATTTCTCAAAATTAGCTTCACCGTTTGAATTCAGATAACGAAAGCTAAAAACATTCGATCTTGTTCAGATAGTTGGAAGCAAAGAAGAAGCATCACAAATCTGGTGGTGAAAATGAAGTGAAATTTGGGGATGTGGATGGAGGACGAGGCGGATTGATTTTCTCTACTAGTCCTAGGGCACTAGCAGGTCACAAGTGGGGGATCAGGGAAGCGACAGGAGAAATGCAATTCATTGCGGTCCGGGGAAGGGATTTGATGACCCACGCCTAGGCCCACTAAATAGCGCCTAGGGCCGCATTAACACAGATTAGTTGACAATTAATAGGCATCAAGCGCAAACAGCTTTTTTATCTACGCCAATGCCCAAATGAAGGCGTTTTTTCACCGTCGAGCGCCTTTTCAAGCCTAGGTGTGCGCCTTGGCGCACCTTCTTGAAGGTTGCAACCGGGTATTGCTCCCCATAGCTACATATCAAGATCGCCCAAATTGAATGCAAATGTGTGAAGGTGTGTTAATACACCGTAGGAAGGCGCAACAACTGAAGGAAACCTCACTCTCTTAATCAATCGGTTAAGGAAAACAATTAAGCTAGGAACCTTAGCTCTCTCAATCAATGGATAAAGGATTGGTACAATAAACTAGGAAGTCAAGCTCTCTTAACCTTTCGGCTAAGGATTTGAACAATAAGCCAAGATGCTAGCTCTCTTAACCGATAAAACTAAGGGTTGCAAGACCAATTCCTCGAAACTTAATCTGAACGGCAAAGTATCACCCAAGTTAAAAGTGCTAAATCGAAGTTTGAGGTTTGCCCTAATTTTCCCTAGGTAGGTGACTCAATTGGCCAAGGAATCCAGCTTATCAAAGCCTCCTAACAAAAAGGGGAATTCCCTCTACCTATGTCAAATTGGTATAGTAATGAGAAATGAATAACACAACCCAAACATCATGAAAATACCTCAAACTTTGCATTAAACACAAATGCACACACAAAGCATTCAATTAGTACAATCTATCACATATTTCAAGCTAGGGTTCACAACACCCAAGTGAATAGGTAGGCTATTCCATAACTAGGCAAAGGAAAACAAGAAAGAGAAGAGAAAGAACCATGAAGAGATGACAATCTTCCTTCCTTCTTGCTTGAATCTCCCTTGAGAGGTAAGAATATTCACTCCTCTAGTTTGGGGAAAGCTCATTCTCCTTCTTCCTCCTTTGAATGGCACTTTCTCTCTCTAGAATAGGAAGAGAAAACTATAATCTCTACCTAAAACCCCCTTTTATTCTGAAAACTAAAACCCTGCCAAAAAGATCTCTTACTTTTTCCTTCTGTTGCAGACTTTATAGTCTGCAGAAATCAGCTCGAACACGGTTGTGTCCTATGGCCGTGTTATATCCCAAGTGCGCTTCACTTTGCCGTCTGCAAGAAAAACCATAACACAGCCAGTGAACACGGGCGTTTTAAGGCCGTGTTCTTCAAAACTCGACAAGACGCTTCGTTTTTTGCCCGACTTCACAACCTCTTCATTGACTATCACGGTCTGAGTGACCGTGATAATCTTCAATGCCAGTGAGAAGGCAAAAGCCTCTAGAACTCAGCTGTGGACACGGCCTATGAACACGGGCATGTTCAGGTCGTGTTCCTCAAATGGAAAGAATCTTCTAGCGCCTGAAACGTTGTCGTGTCCAGGCTGAAGGTGCTGAACATGGTTTGGGAACACGATCGTGTCCCTGGCAGTGTTCTCTCTGTTTTCTTCATTTCTTGCCATTCTTGCCTTCATTCGTTCCGAAACTCTTCCTCGACCTTCCACACGTGTTAGGACCTAAAATGAATCAACAATAGCACAAGCTAGCATAAAATAGGTTGAGAGACGACGAAATGCAAAGTCAAACTATCAAGAAATGAGAGGTAAAATGTGTATAATTGGACCCGAATCACACCCCAACACTTGAACGTTTGCTGGTCCCCAAGCAAACCAATCTCAGACAAGGCAATATTTCAACCTAACAACAACAACTTGGGGACAAATCAAAGGGCACACAATGGATGAATCTCAATGTTTATTTGGCATCAACAAATGAACAGTCACAAGCAATATCGACACCCACCACAAACGACATTCGAATGCATTAAGAACGTGCAAACAAAAAGTCTCACCCTATTCACAAAAAATACAAGTCTCCACCAGACTACTCATCAACCACAACTAACCATGCATAGAACTCAAGTCCAAGGAACAAACGAAAGGGCGACAAAGGTCCTCACCGGGATAAAATATGAACATGTATAATGTGAATGAATCACTCACTCTCGACCAGTGGGGTCGAGACCATTTGAGGCAAAAGATGTGCAAAATTATCAACACTCAACCATATCGTCTCTTCACGATGGCGGCAACCTCTAAACGCTAGAGTTCACAAGGTGGTTGTCATCACTAGCTTGTTTGGAGGTCTTAGACACAGGTTTAAATGACTGGCAATTGTCTTGGACATGGGGAAAAGGCCTTTTGGGTGGTGGCAAACATAGCATGAGGTCATACATCTTCAACCTAAAACCAAAGGTTCTATGGTTTCGACTAAGAACCTTTGCTACAATCAATGGGCACTAACATCAGCCAAAAACCACACTTCCCTTCTCTCAAATTGTTACCAACCACAAACTACTTTCAAGCACACTTCCTAGGCCCATCTTGCTAATCACAATTCAATCATAGTAGTGAAGGAGGTCAACAACAATAAGGTGCTTCAATGGCTTGAGTGCCAAGAAACCCTTTTAAGAGCGTACACATCATTTCCTCCTAGCAACTCTCTATCTTCATTCACCCCGTTTACCTCTTTTTGATTTGTTTTTTCTACGTTCCTTTTTCTGTTTCTTTTATTTTCTCACTTTTTTCAAGGGGGGGGGGTACTAGAGAGCTAAACACATGTCATTTTTACATTTAACGAACAATGCTCTCTATTAAGATCTTTCCTCCAACACTACCTTTTCATTCCTAGCAAGAATCGTGCAAAATCCACCTATGTAGAACATCAATGGAGCTCAAAAGCGAGAACTCTGAGACACAAGGATTACTCACAACAGTTTAGACACGAAGAAAGGAAAAGGGTCATTCTATCAATCACTATTAAGCACAAAAAACCACAAGCTCCTAAGATGAGAACAACCCAAGGTCACA